ATTGGTAAACAAATCACAACTCGGTAATCTTTATGACAAGGCAATCGGTCAATGGTTTATTCCTGGATGTAATGCTGTCAAATTGCGCGAACCAATCGGACTAGTCGACTAACCAAAGCCTGATCCGCAAATCAGCGAGGTCCTATGTGTGTGGTTGGAATGGGTGTGTGAAAAAAGCGTATGGTGAGCCGGTGTCCAATTTGCTGGATTATCCGCTCTTCGGACACAATTAAAACAACCCGGGGTACTCACCTAGCTTGATCGAGCCGGTGACCATCGCGATTAGGATCTTATAAAACGTTTCCACAATGCACTGTACCGCACATTCATAATGAGATTTCAACAGGTGCTCTTTTCGTAATTTTTGAATACTCAGTTGTTTATATCTGGCAGTTTGATTCTAGATAACATTGTTCATGTTCAGTTCAGTTCAGTTCAGTTTTTACAACCATTAACCATGCACTTTCGTGCGCCGGTTTTGGTTGCTGTCTTTTGTTGACCAATTGGATAAAAGAGCAGAATGAAGATTGGAAGGTTGAAAGCAAATTCAAGCGGAAGATGGAGAATTCATACGGAGTAGTTTTAGGAGTATAATGAGTGGATGCACGAGCACCACCGTTTGCGACACTCAATCATATCGCTCAGTATCTCTAACCATCGGTGATTATGATCGCTGGGTCCCCAGTCAGGGTACCTAACGAGACCTATGTGACCTAGTCTTCCGGTTAGGGTTTTTATACCCTCATACCGGGTCTTCGTTTGACCACCCCTGACCTTTTTCCAAGCGTTGTCTGCTTCGGCAAACATCGCTCGCCGTGGCAACCTATTCGGTGACATGCGTAACACGCCCCAACCAACGTAATCCATGGAGGTCGTTCACTTGTTCCAGTGGACGACCGCGACCGCCTAAAACTCTAAACCTAACTTCAGCATCGCTCGTCCGGCTACCCCACCAGACTCGTACAATGCTACGTAGACAGCGGTGTTCGAACACCGACAATTTATTTGTATCCTGCTCCCGTAGTGGCCAAGTGTCTGCACCGTAGAGCAGGACTGGTCGAACTATTGCAGCATATACTCGACCCTTCACATACAGCCGGATGTCGCGACGGCGCGACAGATGTCTCAAGTTTGCAAATGCCAACCGTTCATGTGCTGGAAACTGTTGAACATGCTAACTAAGTGCTTTTCTTTCATCGAGAATACTGATTGCGGCCCGTATCTATCCATTTGGGAATCTTAGTCACCAACCTCACCACCAGCTAATAATCGGAATTTATGTTGAAATTATTCAAGGTTCAGTAGCCTCGATGGGATTCGAACCCACGCATGGTCGCCGTCTATGCTTTTGTACAGCGCACGCTCTACCAGTTGAGTTGCGAGGCCACACCGATAGCACTGGTCTTTTCACATTCGAATCACCCATTCAACTTACAGGGGTATATGACATCCACCAGGTAGCATGTAAGCTGACAGTAACGACAGGTTTTCCTTAGAATTCACCGGAATCGGCCGAAAAAACAATTTAAACTCTGGATTTCTGTTTTTCGTTCACCTAGCAACCATTCGTGCGGGATGTGTGCGAGGCTGATCGACAGTGCATCCGTCTACTCCTTTGCGAACTAAAAGCCGATGTCATTGACACAGTCGAGGATCTGGATCCAGCCGATTTGGTAAGTTCCCATCTCCGCGGGTTTCACTGCATCCTAGAACAGAGGAAACCGAAAGAAAGAAACTACGTAATATCTTGTAATTATTTTAGTCTTGCTGCTCAGTGCGTCGTGTCTGTCAATTCCAGAGAGAATTGCTGTCCCACAGGGTTGATATGCAACGGGTTTTCTTTTACCGAGTCTCCGTTCTGGTACTCTTTGTTTCGAGTTAGACGAAGTTTTAAAACATCGGAACAACGCTTTTCAGTTTACCTTTTCCGAGGTTGATTTCACTACTCGCATACTAATCGTTGATCCTGTCTGAATTCAGTCAACTGACACCTGAACAAAGCCAGTGTTATCATTTATGGATTTCTGTCGCATGAACTGTGCTAGGCCACCCACATATAAACTGAACACAAGTGCTTCAATTCGGATTATGAACTAGTCTGTGCCATCGTTGCAAGTACATTGTATCACTATCATTGTTCGTTTAACATCACTATTTATCTGCTCCACTAACCTCGCGACTTAAAACCAAGCCAATCGTACTAGACTGTCATGTGTCCCCCCCCCACCTCTGTTGCCTATTACCTCTGCGCTGTTTGTCCTCGTATGATTTGATACGTCTTTATCTCTGTGTGTAGCGTACAACGCGATTCGCCACACTTTGTTCCAGTTAATTGACTTGTATAAGTGCTAAGCCTTTATGTTTTGTGATAACTCACAGCGATTTTTTCTGTATTGACTGAGTTGCGCGCACATGGACAAAAAAAAACACCTCGGTGCGTGTCCTCTGTATTCGCATAGTTTGACATTTTCACTGCAAATCTGAGTCTGTTATCTGCGTTTGTGCCTGTGCGCGTAAGTCGGATTGGATACTCTCATTGCACGGGTACACTCCCATTCGAAGTGTGACTGATCAAGTAAGGTTGGAAATAACTTCCTTCATTGTAAATAGTTTGTTTGCCCTTCTCTAATTTGGTGTTTTCGGTACCGTCCAATGTCAAAGAAAGCTATTCTTCCACGGCGATGAGTCTGCTTGCTTGATGTTTTTGGTAATTGTCAGCTGTTGGAATCTGAAATCGTGTAAACTTTCGTGACATGTCTCTAATCCGATTTTATCTATTTAATGTACCACATGGTTCCATGACTTCAGTGGAGGAGTTGAAGTGATACCTGAGATGGTCTAATGGTACACACATTCATCTTTGGTAGCCCTATTTGAATTTCAGCTGATGTTCAAGAATGATGTGTTTTGTATTTTTTTTTTATAACTAAATACGAAAAATAGTGAGCGAGAGAATACCGCCTTTCAAAATGTCAGTCGTGGAGGTCTTGCATTACTTTTGCTTCAACGAAGAAAAATGTGCAATTTCTACCTATCTCGTGTGCAATCAATTTCCCGCCAAGTCGCATTTTCGAATGGGTTCCCACTTTTCAGCCAGTGTAAACCAGCGGTTTACGTGATAGCGTTCAAAGTCCATGTGCTAATAGCTTATGTCTCCGTCATACAATCCCCCCTCCCTTATGTATGTTACACTTTCTGGCATTTTCTGTCTTGGCCATTGGCTTGACCACGGACAGGCCAACACGCGTTATCGCGTTCCGTCAGTGACGTCTCACCGAGTGTGACGCATAGACCACTTGGTTCACCGATTAGATA